TAAAAAGTCCATGACATCATTCAGCTAGTAAATGATGGACATAACTAGGTCTGGTGAAATTTCGACTCTGTGAAGCTTTGCTCATTGCTGGGGATCCTGGCTTCCTCCTTGCAGGATTCAGAAATGTCACAACTCATTCCAAAATTCTGTTGCTGGTTGACAGCGTTCACAGTTTTATTTCTAGAATATATTTCTGCCGTTCCCTTTAGAAGTCACACTTGTCATGGGTTAGGTATCCTTCTTCCATCTTTTTTTATGTGTCCTTTTTCAAGCAGTGTTCATCAAAGAGCTCCACGTGAAGTCCTATTAATTTATTTAGATACATCTCCTTTTCCTTCTTTTATGCGATCAGTTTCTGATTAGCAGCTGACTCAACAACTTGGGGGCATGGATCATGATGGGGTGTCAAAACCTTACTGGACTGCAGGAGACAGCCATTTGAAGTTTGGCTGTCTGATGGATGTTTACACAGCTGGTGAAAGCATATTGGTTGCTTCTCACTGACGTGTACATCAGTTTCAAAGGGAGATCTCACCAGCCCTGCTCCCGTTAAATGACCACGTTTTTAAGGAACATTGGCTGGAGGAGATGGCGGGTGATTAGCCTAGCCAGGCACCCACATGTTTTCTGAGGTCCTCACTGTAGACTCCTTAAATGGTATGAACAGAATTTACCTCCAGGGTATCAGATCTCTTAGTCGCTTCTGCATCCTAATGAAAGTTGCAGGTGTTACCAGGAAGGAATGCCTCGCTCGTGGTGTCACACACCTGTTTCAGAGGCCACCTCTGCTTGTGCCCAGGGGGATGTTAATCCAGTGGTTCTCAGTGACTGGGGGAGCACTTGGCCACATCTGGACTCACTGATGGCCGCCACAGCTGGGAGGTGCGACTTGTAGCCAGTGGGTAGAGCCCCGGGAAGCAGCTAAGCACCCCGCAAAGCACAAGTCAACCACCACAACAAAAAACTGTGTATCTGACCCCAAAAGGCAACAGTGCTGCTGCTGGAAAACCTGCTTGAAGAAGATAACCTTCCCCAACCTTCATTCCCCTTCCCGTGCAGTGAGGGTAACAGTGGTCCAGGCTGCTGTCATGAGGACTGCAGGCAGCACTATATACTAAAACACATACTGTAGTGACTGGCACAGAGCCAGCATCCAAAAACAGTCATCATTTTTTCCTTTATTATTACCAAGTATTACACGGGCTATTTCTTAAGATGTTACTTGCTTAATACTAAAAAGGTAGTTTATTTACTCCACAAATATTTTTTTGAGCACTTTCCATATGTTAGGCACTGATGTGGCTGCTGCAAATAGATAAAGTAAAAAGTAAGAAGACAACACTGTTAGCTTCCTGTTAGCTTCAGGAAGCAAAGAGCTTGCAAGTAGGCACTGTGTTCCCATTTTGTAACTGACAGACCCAGGCCCTGGGAGGTTCAAGTACTGAACCCAAGGGTTCAATGCCCATGAGGGCCAGAGCTCAGATTCAAACACTACCGGCGGTTACAGACCGAGGGCTTGTGTCTCTCTAGATTAGTATGTTGAAATCCTAACCCCCAAAGGGATGGATCTGGGATCGGATCGTGAGGGCAGAGCCCTCTTGAATGAGATTACTGTCCCTCTAAGAAGAGCCCCCTGGAGGAGGAAATGGCAACTCACTCCGGTATTCCTGCTGGGATAATTCCATGGACAGAGGAGCCTGGCGGGCGACGGTCCATCAAATCACAAAGAGTCAGACATGACCGAAGAGGCTGAGCACACACGCACACAAGAAGAGCCGGGAGAGAGAATACCTCTCTCTCCATCACATGAGAATATGAGAAGATGGCTGTCTGCAAGCTAGGAGGCAGGCCCTCCCCAGACACCTGCTCTGTGGGTACCTTGATCTCCAACTTTTCAGCCTTCAGAACTTGTGAGCAATAAATGTCTGTTGCTTAGCTGTCTAGTCTGGGGGATTTTATAGCAGCATGGGCTGACCAGCTGACTGCCACACCATCTCTGCCTGATTCCAAAGCCTACATGCTTTCCACTGCATTATTGTCAGTTGCCTGCCTTTAGGAAAACGAGACTGCAAGCTGTGTAGGAAGATCTCAGCTCTGCTAATTTTATTGTCTTAGCATTCTCATCAGTGCCCTCTCACACTGCAGGACATGTCTATGGTGATAAGCTTATCATTTCTTTCCCTTCTACTCTTTATTAATTTAACAAATATTTATTGAGCACTTGCTCCTTGTTCCCTTGGAGGAAGAAATGGCAACCCTACTTCAGCATTCTTGCCTGAAAACTCCCCTGGGTAGAGGGGAGCCTGGAGGCCTACTGTCCATGAGGTCACAAAGAGTGCTCCTTGTTAGGATGCAGTGGAACTATGAAACCCTGTCTTAGCCTGCAGAGAGCTCTGGGGCTGGTGTGGATGAGAGTCAGTCTCGAATAGAAGTCTCATGTGAGACCCAAAGCAGCACCTTAACTTAGCCTCAAGTGCATCAGGCCATGAGGCCCCCTTCCTGTTGGGGCTGTGGATGTCCTTATAGGTATCTGTTTCTTTAGGCAACTTATCACATGCACAGTCAGTTTATTTACATGGCAAAATTTTCCTTTGATGAACAGAAAACCCTGGGTGTATTACTCATATACCTGAAATTCATATAATGGTTTTAGCTCAGCACATCTCGAGCAGAGTCAATTCTTACTTATAGAAGATTTCTCTTATGATGTTATTTGTTCATGACCTTGAAGGTTCGTGCCTCATTGCATATTGCAATTTTGCTTTAGTGTCAATTTAGTCACCTGACCTGAAATACTGATGAGCAAGAGTGTTACTCCTAGTGAAGGAAACTGGCATTCACCCAACATACCTGTCAAACTTGACTCTGTGAGTTTCATGAAAGAACTAAAGTCCGATGTTTCTGGTATGTTCACGCTGGGTGTTGTGTCTTTACGAATACCATGGTATCACAGTGCAGTTTGTTTGGATGGAATCAGCCCTGAAGGAACACTTAAAATGTGCTGTTATTCTTCACTGAGTTGCGGAATGCATATGGTGGCAAGCGGGCGCTCACCGACATCTCAGGGTCCACGCCTACAGACACCAAGGCTCCACGCCACTGACTATGTGGCATGTGTAAACAATTATAATGGCATTGCTTGTCTTTCCGCTGCCTTTCCTTCTGGACCTTGACCCGTAATGACTAGTCCTTTGGTTAAACTGTGGGCTCTCAGCAGAGAGACTCAGCTTCAAAACTCTGCTTTCCCCACACACCAGTCAGCTAACTCTGGCAAATTGACCATCCTCAGCTTCAGCTTCCTCATCTGTAAAATGAGGATAATAATCCTACGTCTTGCTTCACTGAGTCGCTGTGACATTACACTGCCACATTCACACATGGAAGATGATTGGCCCAATGCCTGGAATGGCAGGTGGCCCGTGAGTCTGGCTGCCTTTCTTTTTCCACTTTCACCCACTGATTAGACTACTGCCACCCCCTACTGTCTTTTTGCTGAGGGCGCGCCCTTTCCTGGGACCCGACGTACACCTCTGTTTGCCCGCTGTCTTGCCTGGTGTGTCCCTGGTTCTAAGTCCTAGAATACATTTTGCTCTTAGCTACTTTCTGACATGGAATGTCAGGCTTGTCCCTCAACAGGTCAACCTCTTGCCCAAATTCTCTGCTTCTGTCTCTCTGTTTCATTCCTAAGTCCACCATCACAGAGCTTACAGCACGGTAGTCAGGAACACAGGTATCTGACTGTCCAGAAAAATGTTTTGATTCCACCCTTAAGTAGGTGGCCTTGGGCACGGTATTTAATCTCTTGATGCCTCAGTTTTCTCATCTGTAAAATGGAGATGATATCTTGATTATCTCATGGAATTACTAAGAAGATTACATGTGTTCATGTATCTGAAGTGCTTGAAATGGATCTTGGCCCATAGAAAGTTCCTCTGTAAGTATATACTATTGTTACTTATTGTTATGGGTTGGGCCCCCTGTTCTTTTCATTATCTGCTAGGTTCCCCTGTCCCATCTTTTAAAAATGAGTGCTTTTAACAATTAAGAGCATTCTGATCACAGAGCCGCCCCCTCCCCAGGCTTTGGCCAGCACATCACCCACTCACTGTCTTATGAGTTCCATTTTGGGTTCATGATATAGAGTTCTCTTACAGAAAAAAAAAGTCACTGGCTTTATATTAATCATTTAAAATACGTAACCAATCACATCCAGAGCACATCTCGACAGCACTGATCTGTAGTAAAGAGAAGGGCCAAGTGGCTCCTTTAAATTCACAATCACAAGTAGGGGATTCTGTCACAATTTCCCAATTCCTATCAGCCTTCTGATTGCAGACAATGTAGGTGGGGCTTCCCGGGCGGCTCGGTGGTGAAGAATCCACCTGCCAATGCAGGACACACGGGTTTGATCCCCGACCCGGGCAGATTTCACATGCTGGGAGCAGCTCAGCCCATGCACCCCAACTACTGAGCCTGTGCTCTAGGGGGCTGCAACTATCGAGCCCACGTGCCACAACTACTGACGCCTGAACGCCCTAGAGTCTGTGCTCCGCGGCCAGAGAAGCTACTGCAATGAGAAGCCCATGCACCACAACCAGAGAGCACCACCACTTGCTGCAACTAGAGAAAAGTACAGCAGCAGTGGGGACCCAGCATAGTCCAAACAAGCAATCTAGCAAGCAGTTCAATAAAGCAGTATCGAGTATCCTTCTCGACAGTGAGAGGAAGACAGAACCATGCTGAATACTTGAATTGGGAAAAAGTTATATTAAGTACTGTTAGTAGGCAGTGCTTTTGAATAAACCAAAGAACAGATTCTAGATAAAGAAACTGGGAGCAGATACTCGGTTTCACCTGTCTTACTTTGTCACGAACCAAACGACACAGGTTTTATCACCACCACGGATGTAGGGGCCTCAGCCACCAATTACAACGCATTTCAAAGGCGAGTGAGCAGCTTTAGGAAATATTATGTGGGCAGTTTATCCCAAATTTCTTACCGATGACTTTTCCTAGGAAGAGCGACTTGGGAGAATTGAAGAGCGTGTCGGATGAACTTGGCAGGTGGTAACTCACAGAAGGATAGTGATCCAGCTGCAGGGAGAAAAGGAGAGACACTTTTAGAAGAATGTCACCTCCTGCATGGACTCGGATCTTCCCTGGGGGATGATGTCACTCTTCCAACCCCAGTTTCTGGATCTTATTTCATCAGTGCTGACTCTGAAATACCAGCCTGAGAAAACAGGAGTTCATCCCAGCCTTCGCTGGGGTTACTGGAAAATGATTTGAGCTTGTACATGAAGACCTTTTATGTGTTCTTCTCCAGCTCACGCACCTTCTCTGTGGCTGCTGGTCTAAGACCCTTACTCATTTTAATAGAGTAAAATCTGCTTGATTCAGTCTCTAGTATTGACCCCTGTGATAGAGTAGGCTACATGTATACTGATTTTCTTCAGCATCATCTTACTGCACTTATTTCTTCCCCATTTGGGTCTATCCACCGGGACACCAATATCGTTCTTCAGAACATATATATGTGTGTGTGTTCAAATGTGAATATGACTATATTAACGTATGTGAATATGTGCAAGGCTTCCCTGGTGACTCAGCTGGTAAAGAACGTGTCTGCCAATGCAGGATAGGCAGGAGATGCGGGTTCGCTCTCTGTATCAGGAAGATCCCCTGGAGTAGGAAATGGTACACTACCCTGGTATTCTTGGCTGGGAAACCCCACGGACAGAGGAGCCTGGTGGGCTACAGCCCTGGGGCCACAGAGAGTCAGACAGGACTGAGCGAGCATGCACGCAAGAATATGTACATTCGAATGCTGAGATATCAGGGTCACAGTTTTCTTGCTTGTCCAAACGAGGGTGATTTCTCCTTCCTGCCCCAGTGCAGGGACATAACAGGCTGGAGGGAACAAAGACACTGTTGCTCTAGCAGAGCTGACCTTTCAGAGTGGAGCTGGGCTGGCAACAGAGGGAGTCAAAAAATGAAGCAGATGGGAAGAGCTTACAGACAATGGCTGTCACACGTCTGATTACGCTTCCCATGCAAAAGTGTGAACGGTGCCGTCCCAGAACCCTTTGTGCCCTAACTGGCTATTCTTGCCTTAGCTGAACTTTTACAACCCAAACATTCTAGTTGTTTCTCCAACTGTGAGCTCCTAGAACTTTCTGTGTTTCTTTGTATCCACCTGGGGAAAAAAAAAAAATCTCTTTTGTGCCCTTTTGTTTTTCTGAAGTGAGTTTAATACCTGCTCAGGAGAGCATAAGGTAAGGTGTGGGTTAGAAGGAAACACTTCTGTCCTTCTATCCAGCAGGGCCTTCCTGTGGGAACTGTGTACAAGTAGCTACTTGCTGGGGCACAAACTCCTGAAACTAGACTCACTACAGATGGGCCAGGATGGGTAAAGCTGCAGGGTGCAGGCCTACTTGGGGGAGTGAGGAGCAGGTGGGGAGGAGAGGGAGGCAGGAAGTGTGGGGAGGGGACCAATCTCACTGGCCAAGAGGAGAACAGGCTGCTTTGAGGATGATGGTTAATTATTAATGACCATCTGCCCTGGAATCTTGAGACCGCTTACTCGAAACCTAGAGCTTATTGAATATTCAAGATCACGAGTCCAAGATTCATTGCAGCTTAGGAATCTGGAGAGTTCTGACCTGCAGGACTGGTACGGTGAGGTTTTTTGTGCCTGGGTGTCTGGTAGCACTGTGATAAAAGTCTAAAAAAAAATGATTAAAGCCAACATCGGCATGTTCGACTACAATTTTGAAAAGTTTGCTATGATTTCAAGTGCTTCGTTAACAAAACACATGTTATGGCCAGAGAACCTTAAATATTAATATTTTCCTACTTTATTATTTCCCTGGGGCACAGGCTCAGTCATTTCCGTCACTCAGTCACTCAGTCATTTCCGACTCTTTGCGACCTCATGGACTGCAGCACGCTAGGCCTCCCTGTCCATCACCAAACTCCTAGAGTTGACTCAAACTCATGTCTGTTGAGTCAGTGATGCCATCCAACCATCTCATCCTCTGTTGTCCCCTTCTCCTCCTGCCCTCAATCTTTCCCAGCATCAGGGTCTTTTCAAATGAGTCAGTTCTTCACATCAGGTGGCCAAATTATTGGAGTTTCAGCTTCAACATCAGTCCTTCCAATGAATATTCAGGACTGATATCCTTTAGGACGGACTGATTGGATCTCCTTGAAGTCCAAGCGACTCTCAAGAGTCTTCTCCAACACCACAGTTCAAAAGCATTAATTAGACAGCGCTCAGCTCTCGTTAAGAGTCCAACCTTCACATCCATACATGACTCCTGGAAAAACCACAGCTTTGACTAGACAGATCTTTGTCTGCAGAGTAACGTGTCAGCTTTTTAATATGCTGTCTAGGTTGGTCTGTTTTGCTAAATAGCAGCTAGCTGCTTTGGCGCCATCTGCTGCCACATATGGGGAACTGCTATGGTTCCTCCATCCTTTTACTACCTGTTGTTAAGGTACCTAGGGTTGCCAAGGGGAAGGGATAGTTAGGGAGTTTGGGAAGGTCATGTACATGCTGCTATATTCAAAATGGATAACCAACAAGGACCTACTGTATGGCACAGGGAACTCTACTCAATGTTATGTGGCGGCCTGCACGGAAGAGGTGTTTGGGGGAGAATGGATACATGTATATGTATGGCTGAGTCCCTTCCCTGCTCACCTGAAACTACCACCACATTGTTAAGTAGCTATGCCCCAATACAAAATTAAAAGTTTAGTTTGAAACAAACAAAAACAAAGGCTTCCTGAAATAGTTACATCGTAACAGCATGTAGTAATCAGTATGCTACACTACTGCACTTGACAGAGCTGGTTTTTGGCACATTTTATATTATTTTTATGGTGCTCATATAAAATAAAATTGCTAGTTTGTATCCATAGATTACTTTCATCTCTTCCCCTTCCTTCATATATGCAGTTGATGACTTGAACCAAAAGCTAAAATTTACATTTATTATATTAAAATTTATTTCTTTCGCTTGGAAGAATACAGACTATTCAGAAATTTTTGAATCTTGATTGTACCATCAGTGCTTCTGCCCGGTGTTGGTTTATCTATAAATATCACAAATACTCTTGAGTCTTAATTCATTCATTTCAGTTCAGCTCAGTTGCTCAGTTGTGTCTGACTCTTCGTGACCCCATGGACCGCAGTACTCTAGGCCTCCCTGTCCATCACCAACTCCCAGAGTTTACTCAAACTCAAGTCCATTGAGTCGGTGATGCCATCCAACCATCTCATCTTCTGTTGTCCCTTTCTTCTCCTGCCCTCAATCTTTCCCAGCATCAGGGTCTTTTCAAATTAGTCAGTTCTTCGCATCAGGTGGCCAAAGTATTGGAGTTTCAGCTCCAACATCAGTCCTTCCAATGAGCACTCAGGACTTATCTCTTTTAGGATGGACTTGTTGGCTCTCCTTGCAGTCCAAGGGACTCTCAAGAGTCTCCTCCAACACCACAGTTCAAAAAAAATTCTTTGGCGCTCAGCTTTCTTTATAGTCCAACTCACATCCATACACAACTACTGGAAAAACCATAGCCTTGACTAGACAGATCTTTGTTGGCAAAGTAATGTCTCTGCTTTTTAATATGCTGTCTAGGTTGGTCATAACTTTCCTTCCAAGGAGGAAGTGTCTTTTAATTTCATGGCTGCAGTCACCATCTGCAGTGATTTTGGAGCCCCCCCCCAAAATAAAGTCAGCCACTGTTTCCCTGTTTCCCCATCTATTTGCCATGAAGTGATGGGACCGGATGCCATGATCTTATGAATCGATTAATGAAAAAACATTGGGCAGGAATCTCAGCGGGCAGTGATCTATCATTCTGATCCAAATCACTTGTTCAGTTAGGAAAATCTTTTGTAACAATCGAGTCGGAAAATATGACAAACGCTGAAGATACACAGGAAGGCTTTAACGTTTCCAGAGATGAAACTCCTCGTGTCTGCAGCAATTCTGTGATGGAAGAGGACCACAGGAGGAGAGCTCAGAGGGAAGAGAAGTCCGCTTGAGTCTTCCTCCTCTCTCTCTCTTTCACGTTCAGTCATGCTTTGCGCCCAGAAGGAAGGGTGTGGGTGGAAGCAAGGGAAAAGATGAGGTGACATGGAGGGGATGGTGGGAAAGGGAGTAGCAGCTCTGGGACCTGCAGATGTGACTAAATTAAGGATCCCGGACTCCGGGGCGATGAGCCGTGGCATGTAGGTGCCTCTAGAAGCTGGAAAAGGCAAGGAAAGGGATTCTCCTCTCAGAGCTTCAGGGCAACCAGCCCAGCCAGCAGCAGGCCATCCGCTCGGTGATGCTAACTGGCCTCCAGAACCCTAAGGCAATCCCTCAGTGTTACCCTGAATCTGCAGTAAGTTGTTAGAGCAACAACAGAAAACCATCCCTGGGAATTAAAAGAAGAGCTTGTGCGACCAAAACCAGGGCTGAACAGTGCCCTCTCCCAGCTTGCTTCTCAGACAACCACTCCAGTCCTGCTCCCGTCTTCCTGCCTCCCAGACAGAGATTGTTAATGTGCTCCATTTCTGAGCTGCCCCAGCTTTTTGAGAGCACCCAACCCTGCTTCCTGGAATCCTCCGCACTCGAGCCCCATCCCCAAAATAAGCTCTCCCCGCCTCTCTCCCAGTGATACCCCATGGAGGTCCCTGGGATGTGAGTCTTTTCTGTCAGTAATCAATTCATTGCCTCCGGCTCCAATTCACCTTTCAGTATATGCTCTATGATTAACGTGAGTTCCTTTAATTTCCTTTAAGGTGAGCAGAATATTAAACTTTTCTGGTAGAGGGCCTTGGAAGAAAAGCTATGACAAACCTAGACAGCGTATTAAAAAGCAGAGACATTACTTTGTTGACAAAGGTCCGTCTAGTCAAAGCTATGGTTTTTCCAGTAGTCACATATGGATGTGAGAGTTGGACCATAAAGAAGGCTGAGCACCAAAGAATTGATGCTTTTGAACTGTGGTGTTGGAGAAGACTCTTGAGAGTCCCTTGGACTGCAAGGAGATCAAACCAGTCAATCCTAAAGGAAATCAACACTGAATGTTCACTGTAAGGA